AACAACAACAACAACAACAACAACAACAACATAATGTATGCATCCCAATCATGGTTCCTTTTCTGCTTCCATAACCCCGCCTGCAACAGGGATGAACTGTTCTGCATCGATCATAATTTTATGTCAAATTTCCTTTGTGTTCTACGTCTGCAATTAGAAAATGAACTCTAGTAGCATTATGGGTTACGAGCTGGGCTGCTAACTGCAAGGTCAGCAGTTCGAATCTGCCAGCTGCTCCATAGGAGACGGATGAGGCTTTCTGTTCCCGTAAAGATTTACAGTCTTGGAAACCCTATGAGTGGGAGCCAGCTCGACATCACATACCCACCACCCCCACAATTAGCAACATGGCCATGTTTCCTTTGGGTACCAATATGGCTTCATGCTAATGGTTTTCCTCATCTGGATGGTCTGTCTATGTCTTGTCTTTATTCTGTTTAAGACTTAACAAAGGTGTCTCTCTAAAATATGTGTGAATTGGGGTCCTTCCCCGCCAGAACAGTACTGTGGCCATGTACAAAAATGATCCTCTCCTAGGAGGTGCATGTTACACTAATTAGGTTACAGAGTCATATATCTCTATATTCCATAGGGTTCAGAAAAATCATCAGAGGAAGAGAGAGACAGCAAATACAGCAAAATATCAACAACTGCTGAAACAAAGCAAAGTGTATCAGAGTTCTTGGAACTATTCACACACGTTTTCTATAACCTTGACATTTTTCCAAATTAAAATTAAAAAATATATTATTAAAGGAATGATCCTATCCCTGATGCTGTTTGACAGTGAAGAAGTCATGAAACTGAGTGTGTACACACATATTCACACCCGCACACACTTACAGATGCACACCTACATGTATGAGCACACACACAAATGTGTACACAACCACATATGTACATGTACACAGCCAGGTACACTCAAAATGCAAGCCTGCACACCTGTGCACACATACACAAACCTGCATTCACACACACACAAAACACCCAGACACACAAACATGTATGCACACTGGTAAACATGCCTGATCTCACACACATATCCTTGTGCACACCCTCCCCC